TTAGTTTAACAATCGTTTTTATGGTATAATAATTAATATAATTTATTTTATATTTAAATAAGAAATTTATTGATTTATTATTTTTCGGCTATTTCATTAGCTAAATTTTATATTTATTTTTAATATGAAATCAAAAGATTGTATAATATCGAGTTTGGATACAATCAATCATTATCATTGGAATCAATGCATCATTATTGACTAAAACGATAAGCAATTAAGCTGCTGAAAATAATTTATTGAAATATTAATTATGTGATCGATAATGTATTTACGCCTGATGTGTGAACAAAGAATAAACCAGCGCCCGAACTTATTGAAATTTCATACCGTCATTTTTTAATCGATTCCAATTGACTCGGAGTGGTTTCGAATTAAAAAGAATCATGATTGCGATTAACTTATTTAACTTAGGATTAACTTACCAAGCGACTATATTATTATATTATTATATTAAGGTGTACAACTTTGCTTCCGCCGTTTTTTTTCCGAAATTCGAGGCTTTATTGTAAAAAACTAGTTATACATTTATGATTCAAAGTATTGTCCATCGCTGGTCACTACTTTCTCCCATCTTTCGGATAGCGTACGAATCCCGCGTCAAAAAAACTGGTCATCTTTTGAAGCTATCCACGAATCGATCCAATTTTTTACTTCTTCATAAGACCGGAAGTGCTGGTCAGCCAGGTCGTGTGCCATTGATCGAAACAAGTGATAGTCAGAGGGAGCAACGTCTGGAGAATACGGCGGGTGGGGTAGGACTTCCTATTTCAACGTTTCCAAGTATGTCTTGACCACTTTCGCAACATGGGGTCGAGCATTGTCATGCTGCAAAATCACTTTATCGTGTCTCTCTGTATTGCGGCCGTTTGTCTTTCAATGCTCGGTTCAAACGCATCAATTGCGTTCGATACTGATCGCCTGTGATTGTTTCAGTCGGTTTTAACAGTTCATAATACACTACGCCGAGCTGTCCCACCAAATACAGAGCATGACCTTGGACGTCAAAATCACCGTTCTTGAAGCGTTGAAACCACTCACGATACGTTCTTTCACTAATAGCGGCCTCACCATAAGTATTTGAGAGCATTCGATGAGCCTCAGCCGCAGATTTCTTCATATTGAAGCAAAAAATTAAAATCTCCCGCAAATGACGAGAATTTGGCTCGTAAACTGACATTTTCAATCGAGAATAACTTTATGATGCAGACACAAATCGACTGTTTCTATGGAGTTATGTTGACAGATGCCCAAGTTTATTGTATGACGTCTATGATCTATTTATTTCGACCATCACTTACTGTTAAAGCCATCTATAGGAAAACGGCGGAAGCAAAGTTGTACACCTAATATTATATTAATGTGGATAATATTTGTAATTTGTTCGGGGAACACACATACTTTATCCGTACGAATAAATTTATCTTTCAGAATTAATACTATATTTATTGGAATATTTTATGGTTTTATCATGAAAAATTGTTTTTGGAAAGTACACATCATTCGAAATGCGATGATTTGTAGAAAAATTAAAGTTAGTGAAATATATATGTATAGAAATAGTTTTCATTTTAGAGTTTTTGTAAAAAATTTATCCAAATACATTGCAATATTGTTGGAACATTTTGTTGCAATATAACAAAAAGGCATCTTAACATCGTTGGAATTTTGCAACAATGATTCAGCAATGTTTTGTAACTACTATGGAATATTGCAATGTTTCAGTGAAATCATTCTGCAATGTTTTTGCAATCTTTCCGTGCTGTATGAGATAGAGGGTGCCTGTCGCTATTGAGAAAGTATGACATTTGTATTTTCACTGACTTAATATTCATGTTAAAAAATAGTCTCGATATTTAATGTTTTTGGGGTTGCTGACTACGAACGTAAAATCTGAAATCTAAAATTCAAAATAGCCGATCCAATATGGCTGAGCGATATTGCGAAATTCAAAATAATCTGAACAAATATTGCTTCTCGGGGATCTTTTAGATTGCTGATTACGAATCTAAAGTCTGAATTTCAAAATTCAAAATCCGAATCCAATATGGTAGATGCAGATACGCAAAAACAAGATTTTTGTGAAAATCGAAATCTGGAAGTATTATGCGTTGCTCATACCCGTCTTTAAAAGACTATAAAAAAGAATCAAGGAATGGAGATTTTTAGAATTTTTAAGGGATGGATGAGTAAAAAAAATACGGAAGATCTTCGATGAGAGATTTACGGGGTTTTAGTATTTTCAAATAGAATTTGTAATAGAGTCTTAAAGGATCTCTACAAGGATCGTAAGCAAGAAAACTATTCATGAAATATGTTTATAATTACAATATATTAGATATGGGAAAAAGTTCGGGGCGTTTTTCCCGTTAAATGGCATTAAAAAAACGCCACGAACCTTCACCTAATTTAATATTAATGTCCACCATCCTGGATCCTATTTTAAATTTTGAAATTTAGACTTTATATTCGTAATCAGCGATTCAAAAAATAATAAAATACTGTCGGAACTATTTTTTAATTTGAATATTAGGATAATGAAAATACAATAGTGCCAAACATTTTCAAAGGATAGGCACAACTTTGATCCCGTATATTTCGCAAACCAATTACAAGCTCACTTAAAAATTTTATGCGATTATTGCCTCATCATGACTAATCATTTGATACAAAATTTGGCTCAAAAATCGAGGAAACGAGCGATTTTTGCAGCTCTTTGTAAAAACGATAATTGTAAATATTGATAAAATTATCGTTTTTTTAAATTATTAATCGTAAATTGATTCACTTAATTATTGAAATCACTTAAAAAATTTTCCTATTAATAAAAGATTTGACATAATGCGAGAAGTTTTTTGTGTGGAGATTACTCGAAATTCTAATTCTTCAAAGAGAAGCCTGAGAATTATGTTAATGGACATGTTAGCTAATATCCGTTAGCTATTATATCATTTTGGACGGCATCTGGCACCCGTCCTTTATCCATATACATGAAACATCATGCATTGAATTACCAATTATGATTTTGCACCCGACGTGATACATTTTTAAGATAAGAATTCAATAACAATGAGCATATTAGATACGGTACATTAGAAATCAAGTGTTTTACTTAATATATTTTTATATGTAAAATAATATAGAAAAAATTATGTAAAAAGAATCATATAAGAATCATATAAGAAAAACAACTGGATATGTAATGCATATGTATTAAATAAATGACCTTGTAACCAAGCAAGACGTTACGGACGTATGCATATCTTTTATCAGTCGATCCTAGTAGTTCTGTTGAAAATTGATATAAAAAATTCGATGGTGCATATAAAAGATCTTATATACATATGATCCTTTATATGTATCATTTATTTTTATATAATGATATTATTTATAAACTGATTATAAATTCCCATCTTTAAAAGTTTGTCGGTATCTTTTTTCATTACTACGTAGTACTATATACATGCGTAAATTCCTAGTACGATAAATTGCTTTTTTTTAACGTCATAAACGGCAGCAACAACTCATCGTTCAGTAGTATTGTTTTGTTACTTACCTGAGTATACTTGTGCGCTATCATCTGCCGGGAAGTGAATCGCGGAAGTTTGGAAATTGAACATAGTATTATACTTATCATCCTATCCATTATCATGTATTTAGTTCAAAATCGATCATAACCATTATAAATGTCATGTTTAATTCTGATTTTAACATTTGTCGGAAAAAAGTGTACGACACATAAATATATAATATAAAATTATATATAACT